GGTTGCTGTGTTAAAGAGGAGGAGAAGGGGCATCGGAGGGAAGAAATACCTAAGGTTAGAAGGAAGGAATAGAGAAGATACCCAAAAGTTCCAAAATGTCTCCCATAGGCTTCAGAGGATCTGATCTAGTATCAGTCACCACAGCTTTATGATTAGTTAATGGAAACAGAGTTAGTCAGTGTTCCGTAAGCTGTGAAATGATCTTCCTGTACCTTGATAGAGCATGCGTCTTCAGGAGGCAGGATCCCTTTTGCAGCTGAACCCTCATGGGACCACACTCTCATATCTGGAAGCTGAGGCAAAGAGTGAAACCTTCCTGGAGGAAAATGTCTGCAGAAAGATGGGTGTCAGGAAGAGCAAGAGGTCTTGGCAGACAGGGCTCCTTCCTGGCTTAAGGGGTGGCCAAGCAGTGATCATTAGAATGCCCCCTCATCCTTATTTAGATTGCATGACTGTCCTGGTTTTGTTTTTGTTTTAGCTTCCTTAATTTTATATTGAAGTTTTATATCCAAGGAAAACTGAGATGGTTGGTTACCCTAGGCCTACCCCAAAGTTAGACTTGAAAAGATAATAAAGGTGGTCGGTGTTGGAGGGATTGCTGTCCCCAGCCATCTATCTGAAGGTGATCATTTTGTAATTGGAATTTGTAGGACCACAGGGAAGGTAAAATAAGGGATAAAGGGGAGAAATCAAACTGGCACCCACACTGAGCTAAACAGCACAGGGACTAATACTGAAGAGGGCCTTAGGTTTGTTCTTAACATCTTAGTTGTACCATCCATGTGCACTGACTTTTCTAAATATGCTTTTTTCTCTCTCTCTCTTTTCGTAGGGAGGCAGGACAGTGTGTGAGAGAAGTCTGTTCCATTCTATCTTGTGCCCAGCACCTTAGTCACACAGCCCCAGGACAGTGCTGCCCCAAATGTTTGGGTGAGTGAAAATTTCCAAGTCAAAGAACAATGTAATTTCTTCTAGAAGTTCCTGATGAGTGTTCATGCATGTTGCTATCTTGGGGTTCTCACACTGCCCTGCTTCAGGGCTTGTTAGAGATAACCACTTGCTCTAATTGTGTGAGCAGCAGTGTGGATCGGCTTGGCCCTCACCTGAGACCTGCCCAGAGGCTTCCTCTCTCCTGTCATGCCTTGTTTTTGGAGGCTGACATACCATGATCACCTGGGATAATGTCCTGTGGGTGAGAACACTGCTGAAGAAACTGTCTCTAATTGGGCACAGACTATTAAGAGTATGTGGTAAGGACATTTGAAGTAAGTTTATGGAAGAGTGTAGACTAATGTTACCTGTCAAGTCAAAAAACATGAAGGAGGATAACATCAGGAATTGAGATGTTTGGAAGAAACAGCAATTGGCAGTCCACACGAAGAGCACTGGCATTTTCTCACTGAGCTATAGACAGGGCCCTGTACTGTGCATTTGGTTATGTGCTTTTTCTCCTTGAGATTTCTCAAGAAGTTGTGAAACACAGTTACTAAAAACAGAACTCCTGTGTGTTACACAGGTGCCATCATGTAAAAATTTATTTTTATTTTGTGTGTATGA